AAAGCCGGCAAGCATCCAGGCCAGTCAATCATTCAATCAATTCAGCAAAACCTGATGAGTGTTCATGCACGCCACAGAAGCACGACCGAATGTGATCAGCGCTCAGGCTTTTCATAGAGGCACGATCGATGTTGATGGGGGTTCAGTAACGCCTATCAAACAGCCTGGATCAATGTCAGAAAGTCCCCTCTAAAAGCGTGGGGCCGTTGTAACTTTTGCTCTCGCACTCGCTTGTTCGGAATATAGCGGTTGTGTTCCCTACTGTGAGTCATTTTTCTCCGACAATAGGCACTGGAGCGGGTTAGCAGCAGATACCACAGGTCGGCGAATCAGCAGATATAACAAAGCTCTTCCCCGTTTTTCAAATCAACTGAAACAAGACTCGTGGTTGGGATTGATTCGAAATTGCCAGACAGTAATCATTACACATGGGATGGTTGAAAAATAGCGGGAAAATTACAAGCTTGAAATTGTTGGTTATGAAAAAGCGAAGAAAATCGCTTCAAAATTGTCGTAGAAGTGCAAAAGGTGGTCGCTTGGCAACAAATTCATCGCAGCAGCTTGCATGTCGTAAGTGAGCTAAACAGCCCGCTGTTTTAGGCCTATTTTTAACGGAATAGGGTCTGAAGATGGTGTTCATCTCAAAAAATGTTGCTTTCTAATGAATTTCCGTGTACTTTGAAACTGATTTGCGTTTTGAAGTTTTCGATTTGCTCTACCACATGTTATTTAGGTGGCCCAGTACCAACACTTTTAGGACGAAACGATTCTCTGCGCGGACAACCAGAAGCCAAAACAGATTATGTTATGTCCTGCGTGGTTTGCTAAATGGGAGTCCTTTTTTTCAATAGAGCGGTGCCAACTCACATGAGATCGTCGGTCGACGGGGCCAATCAACGTGTGACTAAGTGATTTCAAGTGAGTAGTTGAGTGACGAGAAATGCGGTGTCTTGTCCAAGTGCCCGTCAAGTACACCGTTCTTCGGTTGATGTCAGAGCTCGGCTAGAAATTGACTGGGTCAAATTGCCCAAGACAAGATAGTCGCGCGGTGTTCCCTGGCTTTTCCGCATAAACGGTTTCCGATCGGAGCACAAAGTTGCGATTGGAACAAGTTGAACGACACAAAAAATCAAAAGGGGCCAGGGAGTGCGTTTCTGTAAAACGTTACCGCCTTGTTATCACAGAAATCAACGCATCTGTGCAGTTTGTCTTTTATCATTACGGGTGATAGGAAGAAGGCCTCCGTTGCGCAGTTATTTACGAGAATAAAAGCCAAGTAAACAGTTACAGACTATTGGGCAGGGAAGCAAAGCTTGTTTATAAAAACTGGATATCCATCTTCTTCTTAAACGCGACCTCCTAAAATTTCTTGGATATTCATTGATCGTTGCTCAAATCCAAGCAAACGCTACAAAGCGACTCCACATATTCCGTAATAGATCTCACTCTTCAAGGCGGATTTACGAGAAAGCATACTACTTGCATGCCTTCCCCATCAGTAGTATCACCGTTACGCAGGTAGTATCATTTCCTCGAAAATCTTGGCTTTAGACTTTAGTTGGTTGGTAGTAAGCTATCGTTTACGGCCGACCCAGTGAATGTCGACCGCTTAGAAACGCGATCCGGTTTTTCCATAACGAAGGCTTGAATGCATAAAGAGCCGACGTTGGCTACAGATGAAGCATTCCAAAATGTGCATCCCAGGAACTCCGTAACTCAAAAAGCCACGAACGACGCAACTGCACCAACCCAAAAAAAACAAACGAATATACATGTTGATCTGACGATTGAAAAGTCCGCAAAATAACACAAAGTTTCGCGCGAGAAGAATGAACAAATTTTAGTTCACTTGCGTTAAACAAAAAATTCCTCCGGAACGGAAAATTAAGCATAGTTTTAAAATGTCAGTTTCAGGTGTTGTGAGAGTTGTACCGGGTATGTACGCTTTAATTTCCACTTTACCTAGTTAAGCAAAGTCACCTAGTTGGATGATGGTGTCCAAATTGATCAAGTGGGATGCTGAGAACGTAGTATCCTGGTATCTGTTTATGATTGTCCATGCCAAGGCAGATTATGAAGCTGAAAGCCGTGTGAAGTAGCTGAATCCTCATTTACTTTGCCCTGAGCGGCCATCAGCTGAAAGGGCCAAAAGATGAAGAGATGGTTTAGTTCTAATGCTCTTGTCCGATGATCCAATATCCGAAGGAAAACAGTGACAGTGAATGATGGCTTGGTGGTCCATACTACTCACACGGTTCAAACATTGAGGATGAGTAGTAGCCACCTCACTACGGTCACAGAGAGTCACTTTTGTCAAAATTCGTTGGCTCAAAGTTCCGAAAAATCTGGAGTGTTGGAACATTTAATCCCAGAAATCTATGTGAACTAAAACGTACATAAAAAACGACCTGAGTTGGTGGAGATCCGCACCAGAGGTTTTGGCAGTGACCTTGAACAAGGAGGACCAAAAGTAATATGGCCTACAGGGCGGACATTCGTGGATTCAATGTACTTCTCACATCTGAAGAATAAAGTTTAAACCACTGGACAATGTGCAATGGTGAATTCTTAACTTTTGAGTGGAACCCCATCATGAAATATGGGTTGATACGGTTGGACAGTTTCAATGAATGCACATATCGGACAACAATGGAGGGAACTCTACTAACAATGAAAGGAAGAATGTCCTCACTGCGGAGTTATTTACTAGAAAATGCCAGCTGAACAGCTACAGACTAGTGGACAGGGAAGCAAAAGTCTCATATGCATCTTGTTGACAAAACTGAATATCCATCTACTCCTTGAACGCGTCTTCCTAAACTTTCCCGGATATTCATTGACTAGTACTTAGTTGCAAGTAAATGATACAGAGCGACTCCACAAATTCCGTAAGAGATCTCACTTTTCAATAGACGAGAAGCGGGTTTGCGAGAAAAAATACTACTCGCATACCTCCCCATTAGTGTATCATCGTTAAACCAAGAAGCAGCCTTTGTTGCTGTTATTAACTGCTGTTCCCAGTCCAGTACCTTAGTGTCGGATAAAGACTGGCCAGCGAGAAACACAACTGCCTTAGTCCCAACAGTTACAAGGAGCGTCGCGTCATTTAAAGCGCACTTTCGACCTTGATCTAGACTGTCCAATCAGGAATGCTTGAACGGTTATCATCGTCGGCCGTGCTTATGTGTCACGTGTGAACACTCATCATTGTCGGCCGTCGCTAAATCGATCGATTCCCCTATCAGCAGCTTCCTTACTGCGATTCTAGTGAAGTTTGAATGTCTCAGTAGAGCATTCTCGCATTATTTTCGGGAATTTGACCTTCCTGACAGTAGTTGCGTTCGATGAATCATGCATCCCTGGGTGCAAATGACCTCGATCAATTAGATGACTAAATAATAATTTTCTTATCACTCGCCAATTATAAAATCACAGGAGGGTGACCGTTGAAGCGCAATTCCGCTTCATCATCAAACGGTATCTCTAGAGAAAATTGAGCATCTGGTTTTTGAAAGAGAATCCCAGTAAGCCATGAGGTGCAAGTTCATCTCATGCCTAACGTGCGATTATCACCAGGCTTTGGTTTGTCTACCTCAAGTGGAACATACATTTTAGAAAAACCCGGTAGATATTACGCACAGACATGAAAGCCCTCATGAATGGAACCAAAATGTACAATCTACCTATTATCCTTGTGACATTCGTTGTGAGAGTACCGCTCATACGAGCTTAAAGATAGTCCTCGGACAATGACTCTGACAAACCGTCGGAATTAATGAACTATGACGTCTGAAATGTAGCTTGCTGAGACCGAAAAAGTGATGTTGACAACATGGAGAGTTATATCATAAGGTGTGCGATAGAAGCGAATGATTCAGAGTCTGTTTTGAGTTGTCACCTTTCAGTCCCCTGAAACCACCTGAGTTATTGGTTGAAATGCGCCATTGTGTTAGCGAAATACACTCATTTGCAAACAAATTAGGCTTTTAAAAGAAACTCCCCTGAATCACTTGTTTATGATGTTTCCAAGCAAGGAAATGTACTGTCTCATGTTTCATTTGGTAGGACATTCGATAAATCGCGCTACATGTATAGACGTAATACACTACTCATAAGGTTGCTGACAGCCCACGACCGGTTTCGCCCTTCTTAGGGCTCATAAGGTAGGCACAGTCTCCGCCTACCTCATGTTCTGCTTGAACCCAAATTGTACAAAATTAGCGAAATACACTCATTTGCAAAACAATTTGTTTTTCCGGGGGACTCACCGGGTATCCCGCTGAATCTCTCGTTTATGATGTGTTGATACCACAGACCTTAGTACCCAGTGTCGCAAGTATTATAGCCTACTGAGTATATCAAGCTTGGATATTTCACTCGGTGAAATTTGCTGTAGGAGACACTATTAGTGCACTGTTGTTGATGGCCATAATACAGTTTAGGAGGTATATGAACTTAGAAAGTTTTTACTATGGTTGACAGTGGTGGGTTGCAACACGTATAAAAATAAATGCAACGCGAAATGTGGAGCAAGTCAACAGAGGAACTTATCGTCTGTGAAAGTCTGGACGGCGGGAACATGTTTTCTCCACAGTATGGCTGCTACACGTGTTCCATAATTGTCCGTGGATTTGTGTCCTAGGTTGACATCCTGGTCCCTGCGCGCGCGCGAGTCTGTGTGTCCTGACTGGGTTCGGCAACGTGAACGCGTTAGCACATGAGAAGTCGCTACACTCACTAAACGATACAGATAATCGATGTCCGATGAGTCACCTTAATGTGACGTGGTTTGCGAGTATGAAAAAAGACAAGTCTCGTGATCCAGTGAGCGTGTGTGAGCTGAACGGTCAAATATGTGGGTGACTGGGTAGCTACAACACTGCCTTGTTCAAAATGTGGCCAAATTCTCTCCTGCAAGTCTAAAGCCAACGACGTTTGTTAACGCCATTTATAACTGTCTTGTCCCACCAAACACACTCAGTTACAAACCATTCTTCGCTTGACGAAATCTCTCGCTTATAAAGTTTTTCAACTGATTGTGGTGCCTAAAAGTCCACCATCGCAGTGCATTTTATAAAAGGGCCTCAATCATTAGATTGCAGTTACTAAAGAACCTTCGGCATCACCGTTCTGTTCCGGATTGATCGGGTTTGAGCTGTCCCCCAGTTTCCACCAATCATAAAACAGTTTGGCTTTAACGGAGAGGTCGACCAATCGTGAGCCCCCAAGTGGCTTACAACAGCCTTGACAGTAGTTACCCCTCCGGTTGCTTTTTGTTTTCCCCGTGTTTTTTGGCTGTCTCTTATGATTAAGTCAAGTGCTAACCTATCTTTTCGTCGAAACGCAGCCCACCTGTGTCACCCGGTGCATTTTCCTGTATTTATCTGCTGACCTTATCACATTCTGGCAACTACTTTGTGTCCGTGACGATGTTTGTACTCACTGAACCAGATAAATGACCTTGACATATAACCACGAAAACCGGCAGGACAAAGCCGCCATCTTGTTTGGTATTTCTATGATACTTTGCAGGAGAATTTCGCGATGACTGATCATTGTATAGATCTGGACTCATGGTTTGACGTAACTCGAGAGGATGAGGTAAAATATGCATACGATTCGTAGAGCTCTCGTTAGGACGTCAGCTGCGCGCGACAGTTTGTGAGTTCGGTTGCCTGCGTGCGTCGACCTACAAGGTGAATGCTCCTTTGTCTCTAAAGGACAGGTTTCACAGAAGACCGCCCAACCAGTGTCTCACTCAAGGGGGCTAGGCGAATTTGCAGTTCCTGTTCACCAAATGTGACTGAAACGAAGGCGCGATACTGCGTTTCTGCAATTGTCGATGAGTAGTTCCGCGAAAATTACGAACCCACCGTTTGTTGTCTTCAAATCAGGTCGCTATGCCACAAGTTTGGTAACCAGATAACTTTTGGATTACCAAAAATTCCGGGTCACTTAGCAGTCCGTTTTCGACTCTAAGCGCTCCAAAAACTGGCCATCTGTGAAATTGTTTTAATTCGTTTGATAACAAAACAGGAAATTCAGGATATTTATTTGTTGACAAAACCCTGTTTTGTTCAAGCTCTTCAAGGTCGAATATTCCTGGACCCAGGGAAATGAAGTTTTCGTAGAGAAGAGGTAGTCATTCGTGGAAGGACCCCTCAAGCGATCTGGGTGCAAAACGGCGTTTTTCATCTAGAACGGTTTAACAAAATAGAAGGGTTTTCACGGTCAAAATTGTTGCCTGTTCCTCATTCTGAGTGAAGCCTTTGTCCCGATTTCACACACGTGTAACACTACCAGACAAAAAACGCCACGTTCCAAGCGAGTGATTTTGTTATCTTAAAAACTGTCTTTCCCTGGGAAGCTCAGTGACTTTTTACCTCGTTCCATATGGACGAACGAAAGACGAAGAGTTAAACTGAGCGCCGAGATGTGATTGAAGTTGGCGGCTTCTTATAGGAAGAAAAAACGGAGAGATTGATTTTGAAAACGACGCATCTTGTTTGGTGTCTTGCCACGACCGCGATGAATAATCTGTGAAATTTGCATCAGATCATCCATCGAAAAGTTCATTGAAACTAGAAGGGGACACATTTCCACCTATTTTCATGCGCTTAACCTCTTCATGCCTCGTCATTAGAAAACCCAAAAATGCTCATAAGCTGCAACAGAATCTCTGAACGCCACTATTTGCATTTTTTCACAAATAACCTGTGAGAGTGCGTATTTCTGTCCATGGTCTTAACCCTGACACGTCAAAAGATGCCGCCAATCAACACAAACCGCAGAAGATCATCGATTTGCTTAGTTCCGCTTCAGTGAGCACCGTTCAGTGTGCTTCACTATGTTGGTTAGAGCACTTTTCCGTCTTCATCGATCTATAACGTGAACAATTCAACCGTCGATGTGGACAGTGCACATGTCTGATGCCATTAATAAGATCAATAATAAAACCAATCATACGCTCGTTTACCAACCACTTTGCGAGTTTTTTTACCAGTTTGAGCTCTTACGGTTGAATCACACTTTAGTAGTCTGTGGGCATTTGCGAATATTAATGGTAATTTTGTCCTGTAAGTGAAGCCACTCCAAGCGGCGGATACAGACCAATCACATTACTCAGTCAGATGTCCAGAGTTCCAACCCCGGTGCGCTCTGCTGGTGAGCGAAACTCGATTCCAGCGCTTCTCCGTTTGGTGTGTAAGAAAAGATGGGCCAGAACACCGGGATGATTGTTCACACGATCATGATGTGAACGCAACTTCTACGCTAAAAATAAGTACAAACACGGTACATTTAACTAGCTCATAGGAAGGATAAAAATCACCCGATGAGTGGATCATGCCTCTGAGAGGTCATCAGTCAGGGAACGTGACCGCATGGTGTGGCTCCTATGCGTGAAGAATCTAAGTTAGACTCACCGATGATGAGCTGCCCGGTCTTTCATCAAAGATTAGCTTCACTTACAGACAAGTGATATAGAAATCATGATTTCATGATTAAAGTGGTCGATATTATCTGGTATCAGACATGCCTGGTTCTTGGGACGCTCCTAATTAGTATAGTCCCGCCAGTGTCATATGGACGTTGACGGATATGTGCACTTGTCCAGGAACGGTAATTTTGGAGTATAGAGAAATCATCTTCCTGGCATTCAACAAAACTGACGAGTTGGTGTAATTCAAATTCCAATGGCTCACGGTTCGCTCACATTACACCTTTGAGACCCACGTTAACCCTAAGTGTTCCGCCAGTGACACTCCGTGTTCCGGGTTGCCAGACTAACACGTTGGCCGCTGTCTGATATATTCTTTCGGTTCTTGACTATAGTATTTCATTCCAAGGAGATCTCTGCAAACGCCTACTCCAGACGTTCTGTAATTTTTGCCCCACCACCCTCTTTGACCGTGTTTTTACAGCACCACAAATCCATATGTGTGGCTTGGTTGGGTCATGTGACTAGTGAATTGCTGACGTTGACCCAGGCTGTCTGGTAGGCGTTTAGTGAACACCCATCAACGTCGATAGTGCTTCTATGACATGCCTGAACGCTGATCACATTCGGTGGTCATGCTTCTCTCGCGTACCTGAACACTCATCGGCTTTCGCTGAATTGATTGGATGATTGACTGGCCTGGATGCCTTCCCATTGAGATTTTGGTGGCGTTTTAGGGTCTCAGTAGGTTCCGGGCGTTCTGGGGTTATTTTCAGGAATCTGACAATCCCGATAGCGTGCCACCGCAGTGTGACTCAGAAACACGAGTGTTCACCGTTTAACAGCCAGTTGGATTTTCTTGAATGAATTTCACCGCATCGTGCTAACTATTACCTTTTGTGGTTTCTGGGCCCAGTTGAACCCAAAGCCCATCGTCCTACGTATCATTTGGTGTCTAATCATATGTGAATTGCGGATGAAACCGAGTTGGAATGAGACCACTTTACTTTCACAAAAACACCGAATGACACAGTATTCTCTCCCGTAACGCAACGAACCGTTTCATCGGTAACTAACCATGACGGTTCGGTGAATACACTTGGGCCTCTGGAGCGATTTCAAACCACTGTGTTTGCCTGTGAGAAATTTAAACATTTTTTATTACACAGAACCTGTTCACTGCCCCAACTGAAGTCGAAAGCTGTACTGTGATCTAACTGAGTTGCAACATTAGTAGAAGTGCGCTTTCCACCACCGCACCTCGAAGCTGACACCCATTCCTTTGTCCAACTGGATTCAATGGTTTTGATCATCCTGAAATAAGTCTATTCACAAAAGTTGAGCGGTTTTGCGAACTTGTTGTAATTTCCGGATGTCTGAGGGGACCAAACTCGACGCCTTCTATTCAGCAAAAAAGGGTTGTGTGTCATTTGATTCCGAGTGACTTCCAAGCAGCATAACTGGATGGAATACAGCACCATCGATCCTCTAAACACGCAGACAAAGTCTCGGGCGGATTAGTTTTACCGGTAAAATTTCTAGGTAGGTTAGCAGTTCTTCAATCAACCTGCCCATTTTAAAAACCATACTGGGCCTCGTGAAAGCAGTTCCGGTTGATATTCTTCGGTGTAGAACTTTTCTAGTTTAATTACACTTTCGTCAAACAGGAACCAGAGTTTTTTGTTTGGCCATTTCGCTTGAATAAAAAGTAAATGTGGAAAAGAGCCTCTTTGCTAGCGAGTCGATCCAATGAGCTTGGCATTGAGCGACATGTATTTTGGGGGGGGGACACTTTCCGCAGAGGAAGAGATCCCCGCCCCCCAACTAACACACCCATTTGCACAACAATTTGGTTTTGACGCTAGACTTACTTGGAACTCAGCTAAATCAATGTTTTTTTCTCAACAAAGCGTGAAGACCATTACGAACAAGAGATTCCGGTGGGTTCCAGGTGAGCCAACCTTCACAAAAAAACTGGTATGCAAATAAGTAGACTTCGTTAATTTCGTGCAACTTGGGTCCAAGTGGATCGAATCGTTCAGCTGCCTAACTGCGATGCCACCCGAAGGTTGCACGAGGGCTGGGATACTGCCATGCTGCACAAGCCTAGGCAGGGGATGTCGAGAGGCGGGATTCGGGTTCGAACCACGCACCTTCCGATTAGTAAATTCGCCCTCTAACAACTTTAGCCACTTCAACCCGGTTCAAGTGGAACATAAGGTTGACGGAAACTCGGGAACTGCACCTACCCAATGAGCCCCAAGAAGGGCGAAACCGGTCGTGGGCAGTCGAAGAGTATTCAGCAAACTTATGAATCGTGTATTAGGTCCGCGAAAAATCCGCAAATGCTTTTCTGCTGTGTAAAATGCCACATAGGACACCGTATATCCATATTCGCGAAGTTTGATTTAATTTTACCCAAGTCTTGTTCTAATCTCTTCTTGGAAAGTAACATGTATATAAGGCCATTTTCGGAAAGCAGCATGGACTAGCTTGAGGTCGCATCGTACTTTTTAAATGCTTTACTGAGTTTGCGTGTACCAGCTTGGAAACACATGTGTTTGAACAAGGCCTACCTAAAATAGTAACTAAGTCGCAGTTATGTTGGAGAAAGAAAGCATCAAAACCGAGAGATTCAGCTGGGTTCCAGGTGAGTCTCTCGAAAAACCAAATTAGTTTGAAAATGAGTGTATATTCGCAAATTTCGTGCAATTTGGTTTCAAGGTTGACGGAAACTCGGGGACTGCGCCTACCTGATGAGCCTAAAGCAGAAGGACGAAACCGATCATGGGCTGTGGAGGAGTTTTCAGCAACCTTAAGAGTAGTACATTACAAAATATACCGGTTTTACAGGTTTTTGAAACTTCAGATGAACTAAAAGTACTTGGGAAGCAAACTTATTTCAAACTCCCTGGGAACCATGGGTTTGGAAACACCCAGTTCATAAAAAAAACATACCAAACTTTACTCCAAAACAGAAAAAACAAATATCTCGTAAAATGTTCATTCGGTTGAGTTGATTCAACATCTCACTAGGTGTTTTAACCGTGTCTGTCTGGGATCTTAATCATGAAGAGGGAGAGACAAATACAAGTAATTGGCTTACCGACTTATCGCTTCGCGAAAACCATAATTGCTGGTGTTTCGTATGCGACCAAATTGGTCTGGATTGTGCACTCAGTACGATGATACTTCTAAGGCAATAAGTCACACAAAAGAGGTTGCACTTACGACCGCCCTGATTACCAGAAGTGAGGCTGACTTGTTTGCTCCGGTTGTTTCACGAACCTCTTCTGTTTTTTGTTTGTTCGTTTCAACTTATTGTCAGTTGGATATTCCACAGTTTCGAAAACAAGTTATAAACTAGATTTGTACTGCACTCCTGATCACAACGAGTTTATTTAAAATGGCCAAAAGAACATCGAAATGAGTTTGTCTGATTGCCACAAGGTTTGAAAGTTGATCGAAACATGCCCAGGAATTCACAACAGAGGAATCATCCTGATATGGTATGCTTGCATCTGACGATAAGTGGAACCAGTGGTTTTTGAAAAGCGATGAAACATTGTTCAGAGATCTCCTTCTTGTTGGGAATACATAAGCGGTGCGCCTCTGACGAAACTCAGAGGGCTTCGAACCCGCGACCTTACGACCAGGGATTGAACACTACTTGACTGTTTGGCCCTTTTTACACCAGACTGCACTTGTTACTGCAAAACACGACTGACCGTTTTATATCGCAAGGCATTTGTGTTACTATCTTTCTCTATTCTGTTTCAACCAACTCTGATTGCTGCTATCCTGTTCGCAAATCTTGTAAGTAACTTGCTTTGTCGATCAAGGAAATGATGTGTACATTGTTGACGTCCAGTATTGATCCAACGGCAACGCTTTGACTACAACCGAGGCAGTCGCAATACGTTTTCTAGGCCTGGTACTGTGCCATCAAAAACGACTGGCACGAACGCTCAGTCTGCCTTAGTCATGTGACACGAATCGACCAACCAGGTCGCTCAGCGGACCCCTAGACTGTCTCACGGCGTCCAATTAGGTTCGAATTGGGGTCCTCCGACAACCAATCGTGTGTGTACCCACGTTTATGAATCCAACCTTAGCTTCTTATTTCGTTATTCATACAAGCTGATTGTCAGGCTCGGAAAACAGGTCAACATTTACCTGATCAACGCGCAGAAAACGCATTTGTGTTACCAAGATTCAAACTGGTGCTCGCTGCATTAATGCAGTCTAAACGCATGCTCACACAGGATGACAATTGCTTGGTTTTAGCGTGCCCATTTAGACTGTTTTCAATCGAAATAAAAGCGCCATTTCAAACCGTAACGAAACTTCAAAGCGAATGTTTAACTGGCTGTTCATTGCTGTATTTGAATTACTCAGTCAACGAGAAATTTTGATGCCATTCGCTTGTCCGGATGGCTCGCTACGAAGAGCGTGTGACAAGCCTTCATCTAGATGCAAATGATTACGTGTAGGCCAACAGCATCTGGGCTGATTATTTAATGAAATGGTTCTGTCCATCTTTGGTTGTTGTGCTTTGGAGCAACGTGAGCTTACCTCGAAATCAATCCAACGAGTTACACACAAACGGGTGTGCGAGTATCTGTAGGCGAACTAAGCAAGACTCGCTCGGAGTAAAACAAATTTTCGTGCGCACCCAAACGAGCACCAGCGATTTCCTGGCTAAAAGTATGAGAACTGGGGCGATATGGCTCAGGGCGCGATTCACTATCCGGAAGATTCATGGTTCAAACCTGACCTCTACCCCCATCCCAGCCCTCCTGCTTCCTTTGGGAGGCATGACAGTTAGGTACCGAAAGGGTGCTGCCCCAGTTGAATGATGATGAGTTTGAGAACTTCGCTATTCGGCTGTAACTGACCTTTCACCATAGATTGGCTTCACTTGGTGGAAGAAAGAAGGCCTTTGCTGCGGAGTTATTTATTAGGAAATGCCAAGTGAACAGTTACGGGCTATTGAACAGGGAAGCGAAACTCTCATATGCATCTTGCTTGCAAAAACTGAATATCCGTCTTCTTTTTGAACGCGTCTTCCTGGACTTTCCTGGAAATTCATTCACTCAAATGCAAGTAAATACGACCTCGCAAATTCCGTAATAGATCTCACTTTACAAGAGACGCGAAGCGGATTTACGAGAGAACGCACTACTCGCATGCCCCATCAGTAGCATCCACCGATACACTGGTAGTTCCGGTGACGCATCTCATAAGATCAAAGCAAGTTCAAAATTCGTGCAAGTCGTCTTTGACGGCATGTGTCCGGTCACGTGACTGTGTTGGAACTGCTTTGACTGCGGTCAAGCGGCGCCTGTCGATCAATATCTTTGACTATGGGGCACTCTGCAGACTAAATAAAACCCCTCGCTTGGGTTGATCATGTGACCACTTTCAAAGATATATGAGATGATCGAACTTTTGGTGGCACTAATTCCGGCAGAAGAGGTTGCTGAGTATTTTGCTGTCAGTTTGCCGTGTTGTGACCAGCTACAAGCAAGAAAAAAGTTATGCACACCAGTGTGGTCTTGTAGAGGTCACTCATCAGATCACGCTTCACAAACACTCAGACTACGCGATAATTCCTGCTCCAGTTGCAACCGACACTGCAAATTCTCATCCATTTTTGTTGACTCGGCTACCGCTTGCGTAACGCGCCAGGCTTATGAACTTCAACACATCAAGTCAAGTTGTATTCATGTTCGTGCAAGCATCAAACACGAAGGGACACCCCTCTCTCCACACCGCACACAATAAATAGGCATACAACCAAGCTCAACCCACACTGACGCCCACAGGACAAAAAGTCAACAGAGCTCCGCAAGTCTCCACGGACAACTACGGAACACGTGTAGCAGCTATACTGCAGAGAAGATACGTCCCGCGTCCGGAACTTCACTCAGGAACCCTCAAACGATAAGTCACTTTTTGGATTATTCCATTTAACGGGGAGCCCAGCCATTCGCTTGACATACTCCTCACTGAATGCACCGCCAAAAGGCCTCTCTCTATTTTGTGTCCAACGATGCAAAAGGGCTTGTCCTTTTTTCTGAGGGATCACTTGACCCATGCCAAAATACCTTTGTCACTAGAATTGTTCCACCTGGATGTAACCTTGATACCAACAGGACAAACCAAGATTAGTGCATACATTGATGCGGACAACAATCTTTCCATTTTCCACCAGTCAGCTGCGTCTGTCGGGATTTTATCCAGAAACGGAGTTAACTCACACACATGACGTAATCAACCTGAGCCGAGAGATTGCGACTTTTTACACAGAATATAAACTATGGTATTCGTAAACACGAATCGAACGTGACCTTGACAAAGGATACCAAACGTCACTCAAAATGACAAGGTAGGACTACCGTACCGTGTGGGATTTCGTTTGATTTATAACCCGATATCTGGCGGATTGCAAAACCGCAAAAGGCGATGTTAGTTAAAACCTAAAGAAAGTTAAAGAAAGATTTTTCATCCGATAAAGTGTCACATTTCGAAAGATTCACACGAAAATGCATTCCTACTAGGCAGACAGAATGGGGATCCTGTCTTCAAATCGGGGCTCTTGCTGTTCGCTCATTTCGTCTGCTCTCGAGCAATCTGTAAATCGCTTTTCAAGAATCACTGCAAATTACTGTTGTGTTGACACTGATTTTTAGATCAACGAATGGAGTCGTCAAGGCAGTTGGCACTCGAAGAACTGGTAAACACATGACCTCGGGACCAAGGAATATGGTTGGCTGGGTCGAGGGATGGAGGCTGATATATCCCATCTGAGTTTGAGCCAAGCACAACGCTGCTCAGCCACTTGTGACCGAGCCTTGTTCACTCTGCTTGGCGGGAGGTCTCAGATTCAAGTTTTGTGAGCAGCGCCCAATGAGGATGAAGCAGTTGTCCAGCTCTTATTGGCTCTTCAGTATAGATTGGCTTCACTTAAAGGACTGAATATCTATTGGAAATCACAGAATCTCTTCATACTACCAACAGTTAGGTAGTTTAAATCAAGGCCATGTTTGTATCAAGACCACAAAAGTACGTGGTGGGGCGGTAGTCTTATGTCGCGAAAGATGCCCATTTCGAATGTCATGCCTCGAACCTGTCTTTCATTCCGTTGAACCTGAATATTCGGTCTCACCGTGATAGTTCATTGCCTGATTTGGTCCGTCGGACTATTTCCGCTTGTCTTCCGTGTACAGTACAGTTAATGCCCGTCCCAAAAGACAGAGTTCAATCAGTCGTGCAAGCTGGGGCATAGTGAGTATTCTGGTTACGACACATCTGGACGGCAACGTACACCTTGCCTGTTGCCCTCATTCACACCTGGTCGTGTTTCGATCCCCTTTCCTTCTACAGGAGGAATTTCAAGACAGCTAAAGGCACAAACCCACTGATAGGAAGGTCCGTGGTTCGAACCCAACCCAGGCATCTAGACTGCCACTGCATAAGTTTGGGTAATCTGTCAGTAACACAGCCCTCGGTCTTCCTTGGAAATTGCCCAGCAGAAGCACCCTTGCGGTGCCTAACTGCCATGCCACCCGAAGGTTACACGAGGGCTGGGATACTGCCACGCGTTACCCAAGCCTAGACAGGGGAAGTCGAGAGGCGGAGGTCGGGTTCGAACCATGGACCCTTCGGTCAACAAATTCGCGCTCTAACAACTTGGGTCATTTTCCTTTGGGTGGCGTGATCACCAGACATAGAAAGGATATTACAGCTCAACGGTTTTCTTCTTATTGTATATATGTGTGTAGAGTCTGCTCACAAAAAATGTTTCTTCTACACTGGACGAGTTGCTTCCCTATAGTAGAACCTTCCAGCAACGTGCGGCATCTTGGTCCTGTTTTAAAAGCATTTATTGTTCTAGGCGTAATACACTACTCATAAGGCTGCTAAAAACTCTTCGAAGGCCCATGACCGGTTTTGCCCTTCTTGGGGTTCATCAGATAATCGCCGTCCCGTCAACCTTATGTTCTGTTTCTACTTTATAGCAAAAAAGTGTGAGCATGACTGATCTTCTGGATACTTTACACACCATAAGACAATAAGACAACAGTCGACGGCCTCCAGATGGATTCTGACATGATATACGTGAAAAGATGGCTTCTGAATGGGCCCTTTCGTCATATCCCATGTTTGCAGTGCGGTACAGAAGCAACAGTGGAAGTAAAAAGTATGACAGTTGCAAAAGAACGTTCGATTTTGGATATGCCGGGGTAAACAAGAGAACCCCTTAGCTGGGTGTCGAATCCACACATGGAAACCAAGCAGATGTATTCTATTCTCGATTCCGATGCATCAATCGATATGGCTCAAATGAACCGCAAGTGATTAACGCTCTAGAGGGAAGGCTTAAATCGATCGTACCAAAAAACGGGACAAATGACTGACTGCAAGGTCGGCGCAAGTAAATTGCACATCATTGTGAAACAGCGTGTCAATCAATAACGGGAGGCTGCTCTGCATTCTGGAGATGAATTGTTCAGCGTCGTAGACATTCATGTGGCACGATGGCCTTCATTTTGTCGAAGCATCCTAAAGATGAGCTCCCGTGCTGAGTGCCGTCACAAACAGCCTGGATACGGGTATTTTTCTTCAAATTTTTTGGAAAAAGCAAACTTACCCTTGGTAGCGCGGAATCGATCCCAACACTCAGACAAAATCTGCTCTGATATTGATTAGCGGATGCTATTTTCGCCGGAATTGGTGCATGACAAAAGTTTTCTTATGCTGGAAATCTATCCGTTTATTTGTGGGATCGATACACACAAACATAGTTGGTATTATTCCCGTCGGATGAAACTGCCCCCAGCTTAAATCGGTTTGTCAGATATCGATTCATCGGTTGCGAAGGATGGAAACGTGCAAGGGGAGGTCAAACAATGATTCGGCAGCGAACTGTGAAATTCATTATCAGCAAACTCGGCTGCACTGGTCATTGCCGTCTACCTGGTTGGGGACCCCGAGACGGGCCATATCCATGGTTAAAGACATTGTCAGACATGGCCCAGTCGCTCCCTTCATAGCGCTCGTGCATCCAAGTTACTGCCTTCAATGCATAGCTCCCTTTCCACCCCCCCCCCCATCGAAAATCCACTGACAGGCACCAGTTTATCAATCGCCGCCTCCAGTGCGCAACTACCTACCCCACCTTCGCAAATCATCGGTGGACGAGACTGTGGCAGCTACAACCGCTGTACCACAAGTACAGGGTTCCTGCGGCTGACAGTGATGATGATTCCTGAAGATTAAACCAAAATAGCTCAAAAGTCAGAAAACCGGCATTCATATCCATGTTTTTTTTAAACTAGCTAACAAATTCGACTGTGTAATCGACGGTAATCACCTCTGTACCGAGGGCATTTCTTACCGTTCCCCAGCATCGACAAGAGAAACAAGTGCTTCGTGGACGGACGGTAAACTGGGACGAATGACACTTGGATGAATTAGCAGTCACGTGACTGGCTTGCGGTAACTTGGTTCCGATGTGTTGAAGGAAAACTTGTTCTTATGTGGCCAGATGAAATATCCTCGGTGGGATTGGTTTCGAGCCACAGACCTTTCGGTCAGTAATTTCGAGCACACGTATAGTTGTATATGTTTACTAAACTAAAGTGTCTGTCTTGCGGGGGTATATTAGGAACCCAACTTTAGCCGTCAACATTTTATCAGAACCAAGTTTTTCTTCTGAGCAGTGTCTCTCCTTTGAGTGATTGGTGATCAAAAGCAATCTTTATGCAGCTGAGTAATTTTCTGATTTCCTAACTAGTCAAACAGAGACGTTTCTCCACTCTTTATGTATACGACCTCTGTAGAAGCTCACAAATGCACCAAAGCGGATTGGAATTCAGCGTCACGTGATGATCGATCACGGAAGCACCCTGAACTTCACTGGAGATTCCTTCTGCCCGGTAGTTGATCTCTTAACAGTTTGATTAAGAGTGGCTGAACAACAATGTGATTGAATGGTTGAGTGGTTGAATGGCTCGGTGAGTGAGAAGTGCTCACATGGGGTCAGTCTGAAGCGCGCCATTTGCTATTTACAATTTTTTTTTATCAAAAAACAATATTGCATTTGCTCTAATTTACCTACAGGATTACGAGTTGAGTGTGATGTTTGATAAAAACGAATCCGTGATTTGGGAACCCGGTGTCTGTTGGATTGTGTTGAATGCTTCATGTTGACATGCTCTTAACTCTCGAGGACGTTTTGGCGATTGGCCTACGGGTACTTCATCGGAATAGGCATTGTTGGGAGGGAGGGTGTTCTTCATCCCCAACCAACTGTCTCAACATAGAAGGAGCATCGGCCGAATGGGGACTGATTCCATCAGATAAAAAGCATTTTCTCTGGAAAAAGACCGTTTCAGTCTGCCTCACGTGTTTCGTTTTTTTTTCGAGGGAAACATTTATGACAGACCAGGTTGGGAAGTGAGAAAGTGAGGAATCTAGCAAGTGGGCTTTTGTCGTTGAAACCGGAAACGCGTTTGCTCGATCGCCAAAATGCGTGAGTGAATTTTGAGTGGTAATAAATTCTTGATTCACCAACGTCCGGTGTGGAAACGTCTTGTGAAGGGACTTGTTCGTTGGTCCGTGTGTGTGTGTGTGTGTATCCACCTTCATGTTTGCCTAACCTAAGGTGTTGTTGTAAACAGTTTAACTCTTCAAAATTCAACCTGTCGGGATGTTTCTACCCCATAGAATTGTGTTCACGGTGGAAAAAGAGGGGTGTGAGTTTACGCAAGTAATAACCGCTATAGTAAGCGAATCACACAAGTGTATACGACGAAGCCGAATAACTGTGAGCAGTAAACTGCAACCGCCCTTGTAATACACTACTCATAAGGTTGCTGAAAACGCCTCGACAGCTGAATTGTCCTGTATTCATTACAATTAACGGGTACACCCATGACGGATGTGCAAAATGGTTCCCTGTACAGATG